AAAATTCACTGTAAAACTATACATATTATCCAGGGTAGCTCAGATTTTAAGGTGAAAATTCATTGTAAAACTATACATATTATCCAGAATAGCTCAGATTTAAGGTGAAAATTCAAACAATTTCTACTTATTCACAATCTCCACTATTCCAAACAGGGGGAAAACAATGTTTGGCTTTTAAGCACCTGGAATAAATGTTTAACTTTTAAGTATCTAGAGCCTATTAAATCTACAAACCACTTATTTTTTCTGAGACTCATTTTTGTTGAATCACTGAAAATGAGTCATCTTTAGTTCAGATAAGTTTTTTTTAATGAACGTAAATATACAAATATGTACTACTAAGTACTAAAAAACAAAATTTTACTGATACTAAAACAAACAAATGAGAAACATAATTTCAAAACATCCCAAAAGCATTAGTTAAGGCTGTACTTAATATTGATTAAAAATATTTACCGCAAGCTAACTTGACGTATTTCTTTAGTAACATAAGATTAACTTGATGTGAATTCTTCTGTGTACAGAAACTAATGAATTACTGTTAAAGGGCCTTTCTGCTGCTTGTTTGTGAAGCCTTTCCAGAGAAACGGATGCATCATCACTGTTTCTTTAATATAACAAAATCAAATATCCCTATGTACCAACTCGGAAATAATAAGTACAAAAATTATACTTTCCATTGCTTATTATTTTCAGTTTCCCAACATGATTAAGTTATTCAACTCAGAACTTTGTTGTTTATTGAACATGTGACAGTTAACATCGTATCAAGTGTACTTGGGAATGCTAGTATGCTTGTAATTCTATGAACTTATTTTTTTTATCATGTATGGCAAAGCTCATATTTCTAGGCTAAAAGTTGTGAAATAAGTTACATTAATATTTTATTTAACTTAATGTACGAAAAAACTTAAGAATTTTGATCTATGTACTTTTTGTTTCAGCCCCATTCCTTTAAAAACAGAAATAGCTTGAAATCTGTTGTAGGAATCAATTGTATCTTGAAAAAAAAACCAACAAAAAACAGATCAATTGTAAAGTATATTACAAGAAGAAAAAAAATAGGTAAGTCAAAGCTTCTGATAATGGAATAAACTAATGAATCATAAGGGAAAATCAGATTTATTATTATTTTCTATGTGCTAATGAAGTATTCTGTAAGACAAAAAGAAATAATCTGCCATTTGAAATTAACCCAATTCTTAGTCGGTAATAACTAGATTTTTTATTAATTAATCTTAAAATGTTGATTTGTTTCCAATTTAAATTGCATGATTCATCTCCATAGCAAAACATTTGAAGATTTTGGATTATCATCATCTGAAATGATCTATCTTGTCCTTAAGATTTAAACATATCAGCTGCATTAAATCATCATCATGTTAATTGTGATGCATAATATATTTTTGCCCAACTAACTCTCAATACAAACAAATTCACATCATGTTTAAAAGTGAAAAAAATGAGCATTTTCTTTAGTTCACCAAATACACAATCATTTAATTAGAAAATAGAGATCATTTTAATAAATTTAAATCATAAGTACTTATATTTTATTCAGACGCACAGTGTGTGAACAAATTTTAGTTTTGTGCTGCAAACTACATTTCTTTGGTAGGTCATGCTGAATTTCATCTAGCGATATTCACTCCATACCGATGATACCAAATGTCAGGTAAACCATCATGAATGACCACCATTTTTCAGAAGTGTGCACTCCTCCAATCTAACGACATAAGGCTTTTTAGATGTTTCCACATAAACCAAACCTTTCTTTCCAGAGTAGATAAGTCAGCTGATAGATTTCTCTCTACACTGAGCTATGCTATGCTTCATTTTACTGCATGGTTGAAGCACTAAGTTTAACCTGCACTGCAAGTTGGGTATAGCTTTAGTGGATTTTGAATTACAAGATGTTATCTTGAACATCACAAAAAAAGCAAGAACTATCTTAGCTAAGCTGGTAAATTATACAGAGTTGTTCTTTACTCATTCTAGACCAAGGTGTACTCTGAGAAATCAAGAAAGATATGGTCAAACTATCATGTGTCATGTAATGAACAGCTTACCCTTGCTGGAGGGTTATTTAGCTAGGCTTAGCAGCTTTATATTATTGCTTTCTTCTTCACAGACAAGAATTCCCTTCTAATAATTTTAATAGCTCCATAAGCTAGACAGTTCTAAAGGTCATTTTTATTGAAACATTGTAATGGCACTTCAAAATTCCTATTTTTTCTACCCTCACTTCCCACCTTCTAGTTCCAGTTTACGGTACCGTTTACGTAGGTTGGACACAGGATCTTTAAAGAGCACTGGATCCAAGCGAAGGCTTGACCTAATTAATGGCATGTATCCAAATATTTCAACAAAGGTAGTCATGCAGGCCTGCCTCTGAATAAAATGGTCTGGATCATTCCAGGGTATTGGGTACATCTTACCATCCATTGCCACATTCTCCTTGTAATTCTTTCGTTGTGTCACTTTGATTGGTGGTAGCTTGGTCACATGGCTGACTAGAAAGTTCATTAGAATATCCTCACAATTCTGTGATTGATCCACAGTCTTGTGCAGTACACTGTGCAGATAATAAGTATATAAGTAGTTGTAGTACCTGAAAGTAAAAACATGCACAATAATTGCAGTATATACCAGTACACTGTGCAGATAATAAGTATATAAGTAGTTGTAGTACCTGAAAGTAAAAACATGCATAATAATTGCAGTATATACCAGTACACTGTGCAGATAATAAGTATATAAGTAGTTGTAGTACCTGAAAGTAAAAACATGCATAATAATTGCAGTATATACCAGTACACTGTGCAGATAATAAGTATATAAGTAGTTGTAGTACCTGAAAGTAAAAACATGCACAATAATTGCAGTATATACAAATAGTTTTAATTTTTAGTAAAAAATAATTAACTAAATAAAACAATATAATGTGTAAAGAGGTTTTAAAGTTCCTAAAATTAACACATGCTGGCTGTATACAATAAGTTGTACTGACTGACAGTTCAAGAGGTTGTATACCTGAAAATAAACGCAAGTACATATATTTTTGGAGTATTAGGAAATGGACATATTATGGTATACATGGTACCAGGATTTATTCAGCTCATAACAATATACATTACTGTAATACTTAGACACATACTCAGATTACCCATTGGGTCTAGGCCTATGCACTAAAGGAGTCCAGAAAGAAAACTGAACTGTGTTCTTTGTTCCTATTTTTGCACGAGTGTCTATATTTTACACCTTCACCAAAAAAAAAAGTTTTTAACTGAGTTTTGTAATGATCAGTCTGTAGACATAAAAAAAATCATAATAGTTATAGTTTAACACTTTTTATATTTTGGTGAAATTTCACTATCTTTGGTTAAGTTTATTCTCTTTTAGGAGAAAAATTTAATTAAGCCCCCTATCTGAGAATTCATGGGCCTAGTGTGATGCAGTTATTTCTGTTTTGGCTGCTTAACATTTGTTTCATTGCTTTTATCAGTTTTAACATACTAATTTTCACACAGATGAATTTGATCATTCATAAAAGTCATAATTTAGAAAACATATGGTGGGGGTCCTTTTTTATTTTATGCTTGGTTAATTCAGCACTGCCTAGACAAAAAAAAACTGTAATGTCAGTACTTAAAGTACAAAGCTAATTTATAGAAATTTAGTGTTTATGTATAATTCAAAAAATAGTAAACCTTATTTATTATTTTTTGAAAACAAATGACATACCAGAAGAAATTATGTTAAAATAAACTGTTACTCTTCATTGTGTGTTATTCCTCACTTATTTATTCTTTCAGAAAACTCAAAATATTTTGAAAATTATTCCAGTTTATCTAATAATTCAATTGAAACAAGTGAAATGATTGAAAGATGTTCTCGTCTTTTCTGGATAAACAGCCATTGCCGATTTAATTATAGTAAGTACAATTTTTCTGTAGCTTTATCAATAAAGCTTGGTTTTTAAATATACATTTTATTACCATTAATAGTTATTTAAATTTACTAACTTTATTTTGATGGAATCATTGGAATATGACAGAAAACAATGAACCAAAAAATGATTGCAAAAAAAAAAGAATTATTTGACTGAATGGCTTCTCAAATTTTTTAAACTTAAGTTAAGCAAATCAGTAGACAGTAACTGTGTTTCATTACAACATGTCTAGTATTTTGTTGGAAAGTGAGAAGTAAAAAAAACAACAACTGAGTTTATTTGACGAGTTGTTTAAAATAAGTTCCAGCTTTTTTGTACCAGTTCACATGGATGGATAGCACATGTTGTATTTCTCCTAAAAATTCTATTTTTACTTGGCCACCCCTTGCGTTTTTGTACTAATGACATATTATTAGAGTTCATAATTAAAATTTTTATTTCACTACTTTAAGAATAGTTTGTAGCTTAGTTTGACCATAAATAAATCTCTAAGAGAATTTCTAGAACATTAATTAAGAAAAGTACTATTATTTACACATGTGTGGACTGATAAAGACAACTACTGCCAAGGGTGCACATTAAAATTACATAATATTTACAGCACAAAGAAAGAGTTATATAATTCTGTACACTCACTACATAATAAATAAAGTTTAAATGGTTTTAAAACATTCATTGAAATCATTATATTTATCAACGAAGCATGATGGGCTGAGTTAACAATTACAAAATATTCTTAGACTACAGTATTTGATTAAGGAAAGCAATATTCATGTTAACCTTCTCTTAAAGGTTAAGAAACCAAACTACATACTGTATTTGACCAAGCAAAGCAATATTCATGTTAACCTTCTCTTAAAGGTTAAGAAACCAAACTACATACTGTATTTGACCAAGCAAAGCAATATTCATGTTAACCTTCTCTTAAACGTTAAGAAACTAAACTATGTACTGTATTTGACCAAGGAAAGCAATATTCATGTTAACCTTCTCTTAAACATTAAGAAACTAAACTATGTACTGTATTTGACCAAGGAAAGCAATATTCATGTTAACCTTCTCTTAGAGGTTAAGAAACTAAACTACACTTTGTTAAAGTACTCTATGGTTTGACAAAAAGTTCATACCTGTGGTAGAAAGCAGCTCCAGTAAGGATAATAGAATATTCATTGGTCCACTTACTGGTATATCTCCAGCAAGATTTACTTTCATCCCAGTAATGAGATCGGGCAGGATATCCAACAATCCTCTCTGGATATGACCGCCATACTTTGAAGGCAAAGTCAATCTGTGGGAAACATTACCATGAAATTGTATGATGACTATTCTTCAGTTTTAAGTTAATCATTTTGAATCTAATAACAACTCTGCCTAAGAGAATCGAGATCTTGTATACACTGAGCATGATCAAATAGCTTGTTATACTCCCACTAGTTCACACCACTTAATGTGTTACCATGGGAAAAATTATTAGTACAATGCCTCAAAGTTAAGTCATCTTGTGTGTTACCATATGAAAATTTTTTATTATAATACTCCCAATAACTATACTGTTTAAAGTATTATTATTATGGGAGTACTCCCGATAGAGAAATTGTTTAATGTGTTAACATGAGAATGTATTTTAAAGCATTACACAGGGCTGCAAATTTAAACTTCGTAAAATTATTTTGGTTTCAATAACGAATTTCCCATAATTCAGCTATGCAGATTTCGAAAATAATATTCATTTTTTTCTAGCATGTAAGGACTTTTAATAAATCAGGAAGAAAAAAAAAACTCTTACTTAGATCAAGTGTACAACAAATTTACCACAAGTATAACAGAATATGTTTGTGTCATTTACACAACCTCCTGTTGCCATAGCAATGAATAAGTAATATTAAAATGAAAAAAAATAATGTCAAAGTGCACGCACAAACAAATACTATCCAGAAATGAAACATCATGCGGCCTGTTAACCGTTTATATATTAGCGGTGTGTTTCTTGTGAGCTCTAGAATGATCAATAAGATTCTCATGTAGCGATTGGTCTAGAGAAATATATAGCCAGTGGTTGTCAACATTTTAAGAATAACAAAATGTGACCCGATTTCAATGACAATGATTCGCTTATGTAACAGTACATATGACGTTATGTGAAAAAAATGTATGTGATGGAGAAAAATGGATATCATTTTCAGATTCAGTGTACAGGAATTACTGTAGAACATGTAAAATTTTCAAGACAATAAAAACATCGCAGGCCTGTGTTACCCTGCTAATAACACCCACGTTTGTCACATGTTTTGTGTGTTACCTTGGGAACATTTTTAATGCAACACTTCCACTAGTCACAACAATTGATGTGTTAACATACAAAGTCTTCTTAGCTCAACTGAAGAACAGTATCTCACTCATATTCAAAATGGCAGTTTGTTACATTACAAATATTCATAAATATTTCTTCTCTGGAATAGCTAGATCTTTTTCTTTTTTTCCATTGAAAAAAACAATACTTCCAGAGATGTCGCTAGGCACTGGCACATGTGGCCTATGCCCCAATTTTACTTGACAGTACCCCAAATCCCCAGTTGGTGTCTTAAAAATCATCATACAAAACCATAATCAATGTTATACTAGATGCCGAAGATTCCCATTTCTTTGGGCCTGAATCTTCCAAGTAGCTAGCAAAGTCTCTGAATATATCGAGTGCATAATAAATATCAAATACACACAATCTGGCGGCATAACTATGGTTTACATCAAAAGATGTGTAATTTCTGGACAGAATTAATTAGAAACTAAACCTCTGTTCAAAGGTTTTATTACTCTCAGCAATAGGAAAATATCTATTAATGATCCAGATTAGAGCCTAACTGCTAATCAATGATTTGTGTATAATGAGAAATTCAGAATGACAAATAAATCAGTCATTTGAATTACTAATTACTATAACGTTTTTCCACAGATTTCACTTGAAATCCTACCCACTTTCTTATCAAACAAGAGCTTCAATCTATCAAACTAAGATGCATATGTAAAAGCATTAGCTAAATAGTAAATAACAGTTTTAAATTAAAGGCTGTTAAGTCCTCCAAGAATATTGGCACTATTATAACTTATGTTACTGTAATTTAGATTGAAAGAAACAGTAAAGAAAGGTAGGCCTACAAATACCTCTTCTGTGGAAAGAACCACATCTTCATCTAGGTTCAATATGGCATCAGTTTGAACAAGGAGATGTGGATGAAAGCGGGAACTGATTGTCTGGATAAACGAAAGATTGATTTATGCTTTAACATATACGTTGAAACATGCTGGTTAGTTATAAAAGTTATTCTTCACTTTACACTCTACCTACTCGAGCAATGATGTTGGGAAACCTTTTTTTTTACTTGAAAGATAGGTCAAAAGGTGGCAACTGTTATCATCTAAATTACTTTTTTGTACTTTTTATTCTTCATTCTATGTTTCCAAAATACAAGATAAATATCCAAAGTGTTATTGACTTTATTTATGTATATCTTCTATTGGTATTAAAATGCTTTAAGACTAACAGAAAAAGAGCAAATTTTGTGATTGACATTAAATTTTTGGGTATTTGTAACTGTATTGAGGATGTTGAGGTGTTACAGAATGATTTGGATAAATAAGTTAGTTGAACTAATATCAGGAAAATGATATTTAATTGTAGTAGGTGCAAAATACTTCACTTGGTGATTTGGAACGTACTATAGATTGTATTTAATTCAAGAAAGGTATGTCCCTAAAAGTGGGTGATAAGTGTTTTCCTGGTAATTATAGACATGTTAGTCTTACTCTTGTAGTGGAAATAATTCTAGGGTCTGGTTAAAGAAGCTTTGCAAAAGTCAGCGAGTGAAATTTGGTATCATAATAGAAAATCAACATAGATGCACTAAAAGGAAACCTTCCCTTATTAATAAGTTAATTTTTACCAAGGAGACTACATGTTACCCAGATGATGGAAAGGGTGTGAACTTAGTGTACTTAGATTTTCGCAAAGCTTTTGATAAGGTGCCACACAAGATACTAGCTAACAAAATCACATTGTTGAGTTTAAGTAAACTGGATTGTAATTTATTGTTAGCAATAAAAGTAAAGAGAATTTTAGGGTGTATTTATAGACATACTGAGTACAAGTCAAGAAAGGTAATTATAGCTTTATACAAATCACTAGTTAGGCTTTACTTGGAATAATGTGTACAGTTTTAGTCTCCTTATCTAAGAAAGTGAGGCTTTATGCATGACTTGGCATGAACAGGATTAAGTAGCTAAGAAAGTATATTGATTTATTGGAAAGGGTTCAGAGGAGGGCTATGAGGATGAATCTTGGAATGGAAGGGTTATCTTATGGGCAGAGGTTAACATCTCTTTAACTTAAAAAAAAAGAAGAAGGGACAATCTTATTGAAGCATACAAGATTATCCAGGGAGTGAGAGGGTAAATGACTCTGATTCCTTTGTGCTATATTCTGAAGGCAACAGGGTGAGAGGACACACGTGTAAAGTATAGAAAAAGAAAGGCAAAGATTCAGTTAAGAGATTTATTTTTTTAACAGTCTGATCGGTTTATAGAATGAGTAGTAGGGGGAGGCCAGCATATCACAAGAATTTGAAAGTGAATCGATAATTTCCTAAATAATAAAGGGTGGATTTAAGTTTTTACTTTTTCTCAAGGCCACAAAGGTGGGTGTGGAGGGTCAGCCTTAATTGGTCAAACAGTCCTTATATGTATATATATATATATATATATAATATTGGGTTCTATTATACAAAGTGTTTGTTTGTTTATAGTTAAGCACAAAGCTACACAATGGGCTATCTATGCTCTGCCCACCACGGGTATCGAAACCCGGTTTCTAGCGTTGTAAATCTGCAGACATGACGCTGTGCCACTGGGGGGCTATAAAAAGTGAGGCATGTTGAAAACATTTTACAATTTTTAAGTTTTCTTCTGAATAAACAAACTCTTAACGTTTTTGACAGTCTTAACGATACATTAATTTTCTTGTAGTTTATTCTGTCTGGAGGGTAGGTGTACAGTTTCTTACAAATTACTGAGATATAAAATATTGAAATCTAGGTCATGTTCTCTTATCCATCCATTTTGTTTTAAAAACCTTTCTGTATTAAAAAAAAAAGCAAACTGGACGAAATATTTCTTTGTTAAGAATAATAAATTTAATAGAAAATTCAGTATACAAAAAATAAATAAATAAGGATGTGTGGAATAAAGGGGTGAGCAAAAATAAGACACGTTACAACGATAAAAACAATTCAATTCTGCAAATGACTTTGATAATTTACGTAAAATCCTTAAAGAATGTTACCTTTTGGGGCGGCTGTATGATATTGACTGGAACAGCAACTTGAGGAAATTTACTAACGACAGGGGGCGCTGTTTCTCCATTCCACAAAACCATAATCTGCAAATTAGATTAATACATATTTTAACAAATAAATTAGACTAACAAAACTTCTCTCTCTTACTTTGTAATCATATCCTTTTTTTATATACATAAACAGACCAAATGATAATTTGTTAATAAATATAACTTTTAATAAGATGATAATTGTTTCTTGATAGTGATTTTAGCTGACGTTGATCATGACAGAAACGTGGAATTTTCGATGGAAGGGGAGCTACAAGGGGAAATGAGGTTTCCTTCTCGAACTGTGTATGTGAAAAGTTTTGTGGGGAGCATTTTTTTTTACACTGCTATACTGCAATACCTCTGCCATAGTGATGATTAATACAAGTGCAATGAATAATACGGTTATGCCTATTTACGCCTGTCACAGTACAATGTCGTTACTATTTGTTACAAGTAATAAAAATATTTTGTAACTGTAAAATGATGTAGGGATGGTCGTGCCAAAAGAATGCAAACAAGAATATAGGGATGATGCAGCTATATATATATATATATCATACCTATATAACTTTCAATATTAACATTTTATGTTACACTCTAAAATGTACGAGTACAAAATAGTTACGTGATCGGTTAATTCGACCGACATCGTAGCGAGAGTCTGTAATAGTCTAATAATCAAACATGTTTTGACTCAACTTGGTTTACCTTGTACGTAAGTCCTACGCTAGGCTCTAAGTTACACTACATTGATACTTATCCTGATGACCATGATATTACGACAAACAAACTGCATAACAACAGTCAGGAATATTTAACTTCCAACTGCAGTAATATTAAATTCAAGTATGCATTTACAGTGTGACATTAAATTTTAATACTGAAAATCATGTAGGGATGATCTATGTATAGCTGTATCATCTCTATATTCTTGTTTGCATTCTTTTTGGCACTGCCATCTCCACATCATTTTACATTTACAAAATGTTTTTGTTACTTGTTTTGTGATGTTTTTACCCCTTAATTGAAGGTCAGTATATTCTATGAATGTGTGTAATAAAAGTTAATATTATGTGTATTGATTTTTTTTATTCCTTCACTTTATACATAATATAAGGATTGGCTCCCTAAAGACACCGATTGTATAGTCTACAAAGCATTGAGCATTCTACATGCTACAGTCATCTAAAGTTCATCTATCATTGGTTGGCAATTCCCGTTTTACTCTGTACGTAAGCTTTTGAAAAGAACAACAGATTTTTGTGAAAAAGCTAACTTTAAGGAGTAATGATAACATCGGGCACTACCCAGAAACAGGTAGAGTGGATTTAGGTTTACACTGACGTTAGTGATAAAGTAGTTGTAAAGTTATCTCGACTGAAACAAGAAGAAAGCTGAACAATTTGGTGGATTGGTCAATTTCTGGTTTGGTATCTTAGCGATGGTTTCTTGTCTTGTTGCGTAGAGAAACAAATGAAAGTGAATGGCAATCGTCTTTTAAAGTAAAACTCTCTGTCATTGTTGATTTTTTAGGGTGCATATTTGTATGATGCCTATTCGGTACCTTAGCTCTATGATTCAGAACCAAATGTGGATATTTCTGGTTCTTTCTATACTGGATCAATGTTTGAAAAGTTCTAGTCGTTTAGCAGATGTTTTAATGAATTAATATGATTAATTCGTCAAGCTTATCTGTAATCTCGTACAGCTGGATTATAATTATTAAATAAATAATATTGTATAATTATTTGAACTACTAGTTCAGAATAGTTAGCTGCTTTTTGACATATTATCGTTCATACGACAAATATGTGTTGCATGACCCCTGATAAGAGGTATTTCTTTATCTTTCCACATCTTAAACATCGTAGGTTGTGGGGGAGAACACCTCCTGCTCGTCCGTTGTAATATCTACTAATAAATACCTGTTGCGTAAGTACCTATACTATTAAATGTTTCTTGCATTATTAACATCAAAGTGTAATTAACGTTTTAATAGAAAAGAAATCAGAGAGGCCAGTTGTCATACTGGACTGTAGATTGAAAGTTCCAAGGTTCACGCCACAGTGCCATTGAACATACAGTGTAGCCCCGTTATAACGCGATCGTTGAGGTCCATAAAATGTCATCGCGAAACAAGCGGGGTGGCGCTAAATCGG